TTTAATTATGCCTAATAAATACATTAAATCAATTTAGAAATACATTACACACACTACCATGTATTTGACGCATGCATACTATTTATTTATTGTCAATATTTTGTTCTTGACGTCTGTGGTCAAATTGAGAATAGATTAAAGATTGTTTGTCTTTATTAATATTTTTCTATAGTGCAGTCTTGACTTTAAAAATACAATCATAATAGTGTACAAACTTCCAATTTCAATTAATTATGATCGAATTTCGACTACTGCGGGACCTCTAGTTTTATTTATTTATTGATGCAAAAAACAAATTACAGAGAAGATGAAGCGATTAGATGTATGGAAATGGTAGTGCAAAGTAGAGAGGGAAGAGGTCGTCCGAAGAAGATATGGATGGAGTGTGTGAATGACGATATGAGAGAGAGAGAGAGAGTGAGCGTTGGGATGACGGCTTAGAAGAGAATGGAATAGAAAAATTCGCTGTGCCGACCCCACCTTTTTTTTTTTTTTTTGGTATCGATGGGGAATCCTAGTCTTTACGGATACCCTGCCGACGGGGGTCGGACCGGGTTATGTCGGACTCCGCGCCTCCGGTGGAAGAAAGAGGAAGAAGTCGCGAACCGAGGTCCGCGCCCTCAACCAATTGGTCCACGGAGACTACGCCTTTAGAAAGGCGCGCTGGGCTAAGTTGAGCTCTCGCCAAACCCGCCCAGCTTAACGACTACCGACTAAACCCCAACGAGCTCCTCCACTCCGGCTGGGCGGGGACCCAGGTACCGCCATGTGCGCGCCATAGGCCCGCCTTCGCCGGCTCCCACCCCAATGTTACGTTGGGCGGGATCTGCCACCGGGGACTTCTTCCCCCTCTCATCTCCACGACTCGTGAGGGGCGCACCGGAGCCACAGCGCACCACCACCCCACAGGACCTTAGTGCCGAGCACCGGGCGCCCCCGCACCCAGCAATCGACGGCCCCTGCAGGAGCCGGGTGGGGGCTTTCTGCCCGCACCACCCGCTCCGCCTTCAC